ATATATATATATATATATATATATATATATATATATATATATATATATATATATATATATATATATATATATATATATATATATATATATAGGAAAGTATTAGAATTCATAAAATTTTAGAATTCATGCATAAAATATTAGAATTCATAAAATATTAGAATTCATAAAATATTAGAATTTTATCAGATGAACCAAAGTCTGGAAAATTCTTAATTCTGACTAAAAATTGTTGTTTCTAATTTTTGTATCTATATTGTCAGCATTACGCACCTTTATTGTGATGTTATATTTATACTGCTGGAGCTTATAATTAATCATAAATCATATATAAAAGACTTTGCCTCAGGTCGTAAATTGAGGCCCTTTCACATATTCAATTTTTTATGGCATTTCTAGTACAATTTGTACCCTTGTCCGAACATTCAGAACAGATGAAAAAACGCAAGTGGAACGGGCCTTTAGGGAATAAATTACGCTTAATAAATCCAGCCCACGGCAGCTGCAGATTTGGTTTCTCTACCAAAACCATACAATTTACTACAGACACTATATATTTTAAATTTTGTGTTATAAAAACATTTCGTGGCTATCACATTTAAGTTCGTTTAAATGTTTATAAATTTTTACGGAAGGTTTTGCATGATTATCAAAAATCAGCGCACTTGTGAATTTATAAAGTGTTACATGCAGTATTAGCATTTTGTAGATAACTTACAAAGATATAGCAAATGTTATTATCACTACGTAATGAAATAATTACTTGTTTTCTGATAATACATTTTTATGGATCGATGTTTTGATTAAGAACTTTTGCTTTATAATGGAGTATAGTATATGATAGTTTTTAAATATATCTATCACCAAATATAAATCACTATTAAAAACAATACATATCATATATGTGGTTTTGAATAAAAGCAGCAAATCACCACAGGCAAATTTAATAGAAATATTTGACATGTGGCCATGTATTATGCAGCTGCTGACATATTCCCACAAATTCACTGATTGACAATAACAACAACCCTCCTCCCAAACGATAATCATTCATTGCGCGGCAAAGTTATCTTCCCACAAATAATACAATTATGTTCCATGCATAGATTGTGTGAGTGAATTAATGAATGTATGAATGAAAAAGCGTTGTAAATGAATATGTTTTCAAGTTTTGACTTACCCATGATGAAGCTCTTGTGAATATATGTAAGGATTAACTTGTGTATTCGGAAGCAGCTTTCATCAGCCTAACAATTAAAAGCATCTCAAAATCAAACCTAATAACATATTTTATATGGGATAAGCATATATATATATATTAAATTTAATATGGGATAAGCATTTTGAACTGGCTATATATATGTTGAGCAAAAACGAAAGGGAATTCCAAGTAAAATTGCCTTGTGGGGGGGGGGGGGTGCATGGGGTATTAGGGTGAGCCAAAAGGAAACATGCACGCCTTGTACCCAGTCCCTTCGCGTCTGGGAACACGATTGGGTAAAGTTTGAAATAAGATTTAGTGCCTTTAGTTAGGATAGATTTTGAAGGGTGTACTACCTGTAGCTATAAGATATACATTTAATAATACCAATCATTTGGATACATGCATGCTCTACATTAATAGACCAGCCATTGGGTCATTCATTGTTTTGTATCTTTTCTCTGTGAAAGGAAATCGGAACACCAAAAAACACACGACTTCGGATATATAGAGCATACGGGTTAACTGATTAACAACAAATTTCGCGGTTGATTAAACAGAAGTGCGTTGTTTCCCCACTCAACGCATCATTTTGCAAAACTAACTACGTACAGTTTTCTCCAGTGAACCCAAATATCAGACAATTCTTCAAAATCCTACAGGGAGGAATGCTTCAAAAAGCAAAACTCTATATGCTTCAGTTGATATCAGCGGTAGGGCAGCAATGCACAAAGATAAACCCAGTTTTTTAATTTTAAGTAAAAATAAAACAATTCGAGGCTTATTGGATTATGTTTGGTATTTTGAAAGATTGAGAGGGGCTAAGTGGTGTAAGGAATGATGGACATATAAAAAATCAATATTTGATATACACCATTGCAACTGAGCTGATAATTATAAGTTTATAACGTCTTTAACATCAGTCGCTGTAATGCAGATGAATCGCAATGAAGCTAGGTGAAACATCTTGTGAAGTTTGAGAAGCATATGAAGGTTAGTTGTTGCCGCATGTATATTTACGAATTGTCATGCTTTTGGTCTGAAATGCCTGAAGAGATTAAGAAAAGGTCGACGTATCGAGCGAAGGCCCTTCGGCGTCGTGTTTACTTTGAATTTTAAGTATCAAACAGAGTTGAACTGTCTGCGATTTCTGGTGCAATTCTCATCTTCTGATGCATGTGAACGAGTAGATGAGTTATGAATGTATCGAGTATATTTAACATCATCAGTCGTCATCTAAACATTCATAACTCCTCCACTTGTTTACATCCGTCAGAAGACGAAAATCGCAGCTAAAATCGCAAACGGGCCTTTAAGCTTCATGGTTTCAGTTTTGAGAATACTGCCTACACTGGAACACTTTCGTATTCTTTACTATACAGTACATGCATTTGATATTTACATGACTAATATATATCAGCGTCGTCGACTTATGCATGAGGCTATAACAGGTCTAAGAACAGTCAGTTAAAATATTCTCATGTTATCTGCATGGTGCGAAGTGTTTAGTCAATGTGGCTTGTGCCCTCGTTAGTATATGGGACGGTTTTTATGGGCCCCATATGTAGAACAATTAATTAAAAGGTTTATAATATATAGTATGACATCCTGTCATCTACTTGGGTCAAGGCCAAGTGGCATAGCCGTTATGTAGAATGGCATATTTTCATATCTATATATATATATGAGTGGAGTACTACACCTCTGATTGAAATTACTGGCAGCTGTAGGCTTACGGTTTCGATTCCGAAGTACACTTTACAGTATCTAGTAATTATTGCATGTTGTATAATTGCATGCGATACGTTTTTGAACAAAATAAATTAATTCATACAGTGTGTAGAAGGAAATTTAAATAAACTGAAGTTTAATAAGTTCATTTCGCAAATGAAGTTTATTGGTATCATCAATCCCCAGGGTTTTGGTCGTAAGGCAGCACTTGCCGTAAGGCAGTCGTAAGGCAGCACATATATATATATATATATATATATATATATATATATATATATATATATATATATATATATATATATATATATATATATATATATATATATATATAGAGTGGAGTACTACACCTCTGATTGCAATTACTGGCAGCTGTAGGCTTACGGTTTCGAGCTTCACATATATCTAGAGCGAGAACTCGACTGGCCAAGAACTGAAGCCAAGACGACGGAAATTGAAGAGCTATTGGAGTAATTGGACGCCATTTCCAGTCCCTTTCTACCGCTTTGTCTGCGCGGTTAAGACGAAGCTTGCAAGGAGTGTGCCAGGGCTCGAAATAGCGGGCTGTCTGAATGGCCAAACGGGGGCCATATTTTAGAAATGGCACTGCAAAAACAAATTTGAACTGCCAAGTAAAAAAAAATGGCAGGTGAAATTCTATAGATATATTTCATTTCATTTGCGTACCACAACTCATACTAGATCACTTAGTTGACTAAATACGTTATTACCAAGTTTAAAAATACTTAAAATGCATATCATGAAAACATTGGTTTTTACAATATGATTCATATGAGACATCGCTATTTTGGCAGTTCAATGAATAAAAATGGCAGGCTGAAATTTATTTCACCTGCGAAAAAATTTTAGACTGGCAGGCCATATTTTTTCTCTACTTCGAGCCTTGGAGTGTACCGAAATTTCGTATTTTAACATCGATTTAAATAAAAAACAACACTGTGGTGTTATGAACTGATAACTTGATTAGCGACACGGTCTTTTAGAAAAAAACTTATATTATAGCTGGGGAAAATGATATTAAAACTGTTCACGACCTTCATAGGTCAATGGCCGCCATCTTGATTTCACATTTGCTCCAGACATATAGAGAGTTCAACGGGTTTCGGTCGTGTGAAGTTGACGATAGATCTCCCGTCCGCAGAGGCTTTTTCACTTAGCCTTAAATGGCGTACTGCGTAACGTGGACCGCTGTATACAGAAGACACGGAGGGCGTTTACCGCCCGCGTGTCTTCTGGCCAGAGGTATAAATTACCTAAATTCGTCATGTAAATTATGTGCCGCAAAGAAAGCCTCTGCGGATGTAGGCGTTTAAAAATGCGGGCTATACACCCGCGGATTGTTAGAATATGCGGGTATTTTTGAATTCGCGTGAGAGATCAAAGGATGCCTTCCCTTGGTTCCCCGCGTGCGTTCGCCAATTACACGAAGTGCCTTCCATTTTCAAGGAACATACAGCCTGCGTATTAACCTAAAATCGTAACTTGATAAAATGTGGATGAGAGTGTGCAGAGCGCCATGCCTTGTTAAGTAGCTTACTGAACCGTAATAGCTTTATCTCATTTATGTCGAGATTGATTTATAGTTTCTTGTAAAACTCATTAGTTCATGAAAAAAAGTTCAAAGAAATCTGAAATATTTAATGAGTTGTTAGATTAGCATATAAAACATTCTCCAGATTTGCATAAACTTTCTCAGATAAAATAACTTTTTTCTAATAAAAGCCGACTGCGAATTAGATGGTCACGTTTCACAAGCTATATCGCGTCCTTGGATGTTGTATCAAAAACGCTCGTGATATAACCACGGTCGCTCATGACGTATGTATTCCACTTAGAGAGCTTTTAAGCTTAAAAGCTTCGCGTTCAACGACAAACGACAAACGTCAGGCAAAAAAAAAAATACGCCATAAAGCAATAAAAAGTAAAAGGGCTTGTTGTTTTATAACTAGAATGCTTAACTATTCCCGTGTCATATGAAAGAAAATATGACATGTAGAAATCGAACGAAAATTATGCCAAGAAAATTCGACCTTGCTGTTTGTCATTCCCGCAAACGTGAAGCTTAACCTCCCTATTATCAAAAGTATGATAGCCTAGACAATTAATTCTATAAACAATTAAATTTTGCAACTGGGGGCATGGTTACGTATATACAAACGTTTTATCGCTGAAGTGCTTGTAGGCGTGTTTCTCTGGGCTTGACAGGCGTGGGGATAAACGCATACACGTCCACGTTTCATATTTTGGCTTTTAATTATCACGTAGAGTATAGATCTCCTCAATATCTTTATAAATAAACGTTTCGATCAAGCGAACAGTATGAGGTTCGCAGTATGACTTGATATTTGCATAATAAGCAGACAAAATTTATACGACGAATATGAAGAAAGCAGATTTAAAGGTCCAATTTAAGGTAGGAAAAATCTCTTCCAACGCCCGTGGGAGGCGCATTTGCGCAATATTTTTTTCTTAGAATAAAGTGGGTGTTAGACCAATTTGTTATTTCAATAATCTTATTGTCATTTACCAATTAAGTCGTCTGAGAAGATTTTGTTTCGAGAACATTTATGGCTGAATACAATGGCGTATTTGCGGTTTATTTAATGCGAACAGGAAAATACAAAGTCGTGAAGGTATTACGATTAGCCCTAATTCAGCCTAACTACTATAGGAAACACGCATTGTCGTATACACAATGCACGTTGACCAGTAAAAAATCGAGATAAAAATATTCAATCGATAAATTTTTGTGCTATGCGAGCGGCCCCAAGGTCACTTAGTCCTAGGGACTAATCCCAGGATTGCCCGATTTTAGGGACCACCTGCCATGCAGGCTAAGGGACTAACTACTATGCAGGAAACACCGTTTTTGTACACAGTGAATGTCTACCAGCAAAAATATTGAATCACTAGAATTTTTGTCGAAGGTGAACAGCCGGATATAGCAAGGTCTGAACAAGGGGCCAATTATTACATGAAACAATGTGTTCGTACCAGTAAAAACATTGAATCAATAAAATCACATCTGACATTAATTTTTTTTGTTTGGTCGAAATTTTTTATTATTGTTTCAAAGCATCCGGTTTCGTAAGCCCGGCATTTATGAGGATCCGGGCGGCTTACGGACCGAAAGCTTTATCAAAAATAGTATTCGGCATACAAAACTACAAAGAATTTATACTACAACTCATATTTATAGATCGCTATATGCCAAAGGATATTTGCTAAGAACATTGCAACATTGCGTCTACCACCAACCACACAAAATCATGTTTATACATTTATGGTAATCTCACCCCGTGATGACCCGACACCCCCTCTTGGTCACGTCGGCGCATGTATGGGCGAGCTAGCTAGTATATTTAACCAAACCGGAAAATACATATACTTCACACTATATTGATTTTCATAATCAGGTGATTGTCTTCTGAGTTCGAAAACATACTGCTAATGAAAAGGTTTGTCTTTTATGAATACGCAATCGAATGAATATATAGTTTAATCGCCATCGACTGAAAATATTTCTTACGTTTTAGTGATTGCAAGGACAGTACAGCCTCATGAGGATCATGGTATAATTGTTGAAGTATTATTCAGACAGTACTTTGTCATTGGGACATTGCCCGGCATTGTAGTATAAAACAACTACGTGTATCCGGTGTTCACTTAACTTATCAACAAACCACAAGGCCAGATTTGAAAACTAGGTGAGTACTATTGAATACGAAACACGCTGAGTCAAATTACTACCAATGGGAGGTTTTTGCGCAGACTGAAACTCTAAGGAAAGAGCTATCCAGTATAAATAAAGTTTATATATAGTTCTCTCTTGTATTAAGCTTACAGAGACCCATAAAAGATGTCTCTTACTAAATCAGATCAGTCTAGGGAGTTTAGAAACTGATAGGGCTATCCGGTCCAGTATAAATAAGGTTCCATATGACCACCTTTTATAGTTGCAAATCCTTGTTCTTGAAACGTTTCCCCTTAAATCTCATGCAATATTTATAGCCCCATTTATAGCCTATACCAATGTTTTATACGGTTGAAAAATTATTGTTACAACTTACAGCGTTGGTATACAGTTATTCAGCAATCATTCAAAAGCTCTCAGAAATTATTGGGCCAGTTGCTCCCCTGCCCCCCCCCCCCGTCTGCCACTGCTCCACGTTCACAGCTGTTCCCACGCGCGTATCTTCCCGCGGCGCATAGAGAGCAGTGAAGAATGTCTCTATATAACTCGTGCCTCCCATTGCATTGTGACAAAACAATTATATATCCAATTCATAATCGAATCCCTAATGTGTTTATATAGCTGTTTGTCGCAAACAGTTCATGCTCGCAGTTCATGTCGATAGAAAAATTTAAAATCGCTAAACAAAACGCAGTGAACTTATACTGTACATGCAACGAAAGACAACGTTTGAAAATTAACTATACACCATCTTTTCATGATGAGCAAGTAGGTCTATATTATGTGTTTTTATTTTAGTATATTTGTCAGTCAATTAGGGCCAGTTATATCATAGTGTTCTCTGAGTAGTGATAGAATATGACAAATTTGGGCTATCTAAACATCAACTAAGATCCATGCCCCCTTTCTTACAAATTAAACACTATCCTCATTTCAATCTAACTAG